CCCCCCCTTTCACTTGCCTCTTTTGTGGATGCAGAATATTTCAGGACCAGGAGCCTCCTGCACAGCCTGGCCTGTGAACAGTTACCGGAGGAGCAGAGGCCTGGCTGGTGGTGGTTCTGACAGCCTCTCCGCAGCTACTGTCAAAATCAGGCTTCACTCCTGACGTTGGTACCGGAGAAATCACTCATAACCCCCTTCCTCCACTTTTAAAACTCAGTTCAGGTTGTCCAGTTCTGTACTATTTATCTCCACTTTAAAAAGGTTTCCTGCGAGCTGCCGCTCTGAATGTACATCATGCAATAACCGTCGCGTTACCGGAGTGCGACCTCGGCCGCAGCCTGTGTCCCTGCCCGGCGGGCGGGTCACTGTATAGGGGACACTCTCTTACCACAATAAACCTTTCCTGAAAGCCAGGGGCAGTGTTTCGGTGCGTCTGTGTTCGCTTCAGGAGTGAGCGGAATGAGGGACGTGCCCCCTCCTCACGGGCCTCGCGCCACCCTTTATGCCTACGGTTCGAACCACAGTTTGAACCACGGGGATCAGTTTTCTGTGTCACACATTTGCCTGAGAAACAGAGTCCAAGTTAGGAGATCACATAGGCTAGAATTCCTGTTTTCTTTAACTAAAGGCACCTTTTTTTGGGTAGTCAAAGCTGGTCACGCCCTGCTGGCTCTTCAACAGGAAACAGACAGGCAGTGTCAGAAGCAGCCAGGCACGGCAGGAGAGGGAACCTCAAACCAGCGCTCCCTTGTTTTTAAATAAAGGAGGAAACACGCAGCGCGGTGTAGGAAGACACTTTATTATACGTTGCTCACTCACACCTGGCCGGGCAGGGAGGTGCTCCCAGGACAGAAGCCAGCCTCAGCCACTTAGAGAGCCGGCCGTCCAGGCGACAGGGGGCCACTCACTGCCTTGGAGAGTGCCAGCGCCCTACGGCCCCCCTGGGCCCAGCTGCCCCTCAAGAAGACGTGTTTCCTCCCCTTTAGGGAGGGTCAGCCACACTGGCCCAGGATGGCTCCTCAGGCTGGGGTTCCAAGGATGCTCACCCAGCTTGTGCTCACGGCCCGCCCCTCCCAGCCTGAGGCCACTACACTTCACAATAGGTGGCTCCGGCCGAATGTCAGGGCAGGACTGAAAAAGGTCTGCCCAAGGCCAGAGCCCCGAGACCACTGCCCCTCGTGCCGGCGGCCCTGCGGAGAAGGCCCATCTGGCGGGCTCAGCTCTGCTGCCCCGGCCACAACCTGGCCTGGAGTCCCGGCTGCCCCACGCCGCAGGCACGCAAGCGACTGGACATCTTCCTCATCACCAGCCTCTGGGCCTTCAGGCGCCTGCGGAGCTTTTCATTTTCCTTTAGCGTCAGGAAGAGTTTTTTTTTCAGAGCGTCTAAGTCCAAAAGGGCGTAGCTGTGATCGGACGGCTGCGTGGGGCTGGCCAGCTGACCAGGGACCCCAGTGGCTTCCGGTCTGTGTGGCGGGACCTGAGGACAGAGGTCAGTGAGAGACAAGCAGCAGCCAGGGCGGCAGGACGCACTTCCCCAAGCCCTCCCGAAGCCCAGAGCTGCCCAGTTGCAGCTAAGTTCACGGGTGAGGTCTGAATCCAGGCTACACGTCGTGGTGCTCTGGTTCAGGCATGCTTTCTTCCTTCTGTTTGAAGCAAATCCCCTCGAGCTGAGACCAGCCACGCGCTGCCTTCCCACCTGGCCCGGCCTCACCTGTGCTCCGGGGTCTCCAGCGTCCGGGGGCAGCTGCGGCGCTTCGAGCGTCG